AGTTAAGGGCCGTGTTTTGTCTGACTTTTTAGTAGACCACTCAAGCATTCTAATCAAAGGAGATTTATTTAAAATAGGTTGCATGGAAATAGCACCCTGAAAATTAATGTTCGATGGGTCTAAGAATGAAGGAGGAGTAAGAGCATGGATTGAGCTAGTATCATCAGAAGGTAGAATGTTCCAGTTTGCTTATTAATTGGATAATGAGGCTCTAACTATTGGCCTAGAAATAGCCCTAGAGATGTAGATCAAGAATCTGTTGGTTATAGGAGATTCACAATTGGTGATTAGGTAAGTGCAAAGTTGGTACAAATGTAATCACCCTGCACTGGAAAAATACATTATAAGATTGCAGTCTCACATACAGGGATTTGAGGATGTCTAGTTTTAACATGTTATGAAACTTCATAACAAAAAGACCAATGAGATGGCCCAAGTATCCTTTGGATTGAGAATTTCAGAAGGGATGAATGAAATAATAATTAAAATTCAAAAAAGGTATTTGCCAACAGTAATGCCATGGTCAGTTGATATCCTGGCTATCGAGATGGGAGAAATAGATTGGAAGTTTCCTATTATCAAGTATCTATAAGACCCATCTCAAAAAGCAGAGAGGGTTACTTGAAATCGAGCTATAAATTATGTTCTTTTGGAAGAAAAATTGTTTAGAAGAACACCAGAAAGGCTAATGTTGTTGTGTGTCTACAAGCTAGATGCCATGAAAATTATAGCAAAATTCGTGAAGGGATTGTGGTTCTCATCAATCAAGTGAACTGATGGACTAATTCAGAGGATTCCTTTTATTGAATTACATTCGGTCATAAATCCATGGCCATTCAAAAATTGGAAAATGGATTTGATGGGTCATTTTCATCAAAACAACATTCTAAAATATTAGTGGCCACTAATTATTTTACAAAATGGGCTAAGACAATACTTATGAAGTTAGTGGATCAACATAAAGTAATTGACTTTATCAACAAATGCATCATTTGTAGGTTTGGGTTGCCTTAAATAATTATTGTCGATCAAGGAACATGTTCACATGGGCAAAAATAACAGAATTTGCATCTAAACATGGGACATAGATGTTGAATTAATAACCCTATTATGCTCAGGCCAATTGGCAAACATAATCAACTAACAAAACATTGAAGTCCATCCTAGAGAAAACTATAGAAGATAACCCAAGGCAATGTCATGAATTATTGCTAAATGCATTGTGGGCATATAGAACTACAAAGAAATCTAGAATAGGAGCAACACCATTCAAATTGGAGTATGGGCATGATGTTGTAATATCTATGGAGATAACAGTAAAATCAAGAAAAGCGTTAGAGTACCAGGGTATGTCTATAGAAACATATCCTCAAGCCATGTTCCTTGAATTGGAGGACATGGAAGAGAGTTGACTAGAAGCATTAAAGCACATCCAAATACATAAAAAGAAGATAGAAAGGTCTTATAAAAAAAAAAATTTAAGTCCAAAATTGTTTCAGAAGGAGATTTGGTGTGGAAAGCCATCTTGCCTTTGGGAAGTAAAGACAAGAAATATGGCAAGTGGTCTCCTACTTGTGAGGGACCTTTCAAAGTAAGACAAATATTAAGAGGTGAAGCCTACCACTTACAATCTTTAGAGGGAGAATGGTAAGGTTTCAGAAGAATTTTCAGCATTGGCAAGAACTTTGGTGGCAGCAGTCTCTTGGAGAGTTGTGGATGAGGTTGAGTCAATCTCAAATGCTATTGCCTCACTAGTTATCTGTGGGGGTGGCATGGAATAGGAGTTCCATGGTTCTTTAGATAGACACTTGTTCTTTCGAGATGGACTTTCCCAATGGCAAGATTAGTTAAAGGATCATTCACAATGAGACCTTCAACTGTAAAAGAGAAACCAAAGGGGAAGAGCGCAAATGTTGTTGCTTTGAGTTCATCCAGCATGCGTGTAGGAAGGAAAGACAGATCGTTGGATTTTTTGTTGGCAAAGCTTTGCCTAGATATATAACTATCTTAGTGGTTATTGAATATCAAGGTATAAGTATGTTGCCACCAATTAGAGAAAAGAGGAGAGACAGATGGTTCCCCATACAAACCCTCAAAACGAAAAGTCCTTAAAGCCTTATGTAAGATGAGGAAATAAGGTGGACGACGTAAGCATCCCTCAGTTCAACCTTGTTGCTAGCATGTTTATCAATAACAAGATTCATTAAAGGCATAGGGATACTTTGGTTAAAGCCAAGTTATCTGGCAATCTAGCTGAGGGGTAAGATTCAAAGCTATAGCGACTATACTTTGACTCATAAGCAACAACACCTACATGAAGATAACAAGGAAGAAGAATGTTTCCCCAAAAATTGTGGAAGAAAGTGGGTTGCTCATCAGAAGGAACGATGGAGCCATCAAAAAATGCTCTAATGCAGAGAGAGGAGTAAGGCATTAAGAGCAAGGCAAAAAAAAGGGAGGATACCTGATAAACTCTAGATCATGGAATGCTTTGAAGTAGAAGTTGAAGTCTTTGTGTAGTGGTAAAGGTACTGACACAAGTAAGTAATGGGCATAATTGAAATGACAGAATTTTGGAAAGGGAAGATACTCAATGGCCCAAGTTTCAAGAATATACACATATAGTCATGCTTGGAATAGCCAGAAAGGACCTCTGCAAAGGTCATCAATGCCTCTCTTAGACATGTCAAAAAAGCCTTTATAAAGAGCTCCTAAAACAAAGGTGGCAAAGGCTAGAATGTGACAATCATCGAGAAAAATAGCAATGTTAAGGTATTCAGTTGTGACTTGAAGATTAGGGACACAAAGGACAAAGCGATAGAGCCAATGTAGAAGGAAAGCAACATGTTCTTCATAGGAAAGGGCCAGAGTTTGGCCTACAGAAGAAAGAAACATGGTTGGAATAGATAAAATTGGTAGCGATATCTATCAAGATGTTATTTGGTTTTAAGGTTATAGTTTTCTCAATACCAGTCAATGGAAGCTTTATTAAGTGCACGATGTCAAGAATGGAAGGAGACATCATGCCAGGAGGAAGGAGTATGACATTACAAGATTTTGACCAAAAACAAATTGTTGCACCTATGAGCTGGTGATTCATGAAAAATAGGAAAATAGAGAGCTTGATTTGTTCATAGATCCTTTGATCATTCCATTGGTTAGAAAAAATGAGCCTCTATACGGGTCACCCAGTCACACCATTGTTGGTCTGGGTCAACCCAAGTTTTCAAATGAGTAAGCCCTTGATCCTAGTGCCACCACTAGAGATGGGAACGGTGAAGCGTCAAGACTTCTCCCTAAGAAATATGGTAGCATTCAGACAATGTCGGGAGCATGGTGGATTTGAAGGCTGAAACTAAAGCAAAATTGGGCCCACGATCTTCAGAGGGGATAAGGATTTGATCATCTATTAAATCTTGAATAGTGTATCTAAGGCTCGCAGAGAACCGAAGAGCGTGAGGCATGCTTGGAGGGGAACTAGCAAGAGTAGAGCAAATTGTTTTCCATTTGGATGCCATCAATGATCAAGGAAAAGTTTAAAATTAAGAAAAAGCCAAGGAATATTATTAGAAGCAAGGCAACAGAGAACAGTACGGATAAGGACTTCCACAATGGCTGAACCCTTTAAATAGGTGCGTTGAGTTTTTCTAGCAGTTACTGACTATTCAATTGCTTATTTGAAATGAACAGATTAACTATTGAAAGGCATCTTAATTAGATAGTGAGAAAAGACAACGAAAGTGATGGTGCATTTACTTGGCCTGATTAAAGAACAAACCCAATTAAATGAGGGGGCATTGTTTAGACATAAAATATAAAATTTTGAAAGCATTCAATGCATGTGTTGTTTGTCATGTGTCAAGATTTGAAGAAAAGGCGGAAAATGATCAGTCACAGCTCTGGTTTAAAAGAGGAAAAAACTATAAAGCCAACTAATCGTCTATAAGGGAAAACCATCGAAAGAAGTGGCTATCAAAAGAGGAAAAAAAGGAGTTGAAGATATGACTCAAACCCCCCCTCCCCCAAAACATGGCCCACGATTGGGACATTTAGGAGTAGTGCTAGAGTTAGTTTTTAGAAAGTAGTTAATGTTGTAATCAAAAGTTGTTAAATAAGTAACTATGTAACCGAAACTCATTCAATTGAATTAATAATGGAGTGCTTTTATTGATTCATTATTCTGTGTGTTCATCACTTTAAGAAATCTACCAAAGAAGTCTTGAAATAAGGCATTTGAACCCATCCACAAATAATTGTCTGAAAACTGTTTGTCGATTGAGGCATTTATGTCAATCACAACAGATTTTTGGAGCATGAGAAGCATAGCATTACTTGGGTATGCAAACCATATAATACTGCCACTACATGGCTATAACTAACCAAAATTTTATTTTATTTCTTTCTCTAATTTTGACCTTTCCTTGGTTCAAACAATTTGACAATACGTCTTGAAGCTTTTGCCATAAAAGTTTTAGACTACCGAAACAAAAAAAGAGAAAAATCCTTGTCACTTGGGACTTTAGACTACAAAATTTTCTTTTTTTTTGTCCTTTTTCTTGACTTTTTGCTAAAATCCATCACATACAACTCTCATAGGTTAATTAAGTGATTAGACGAGGAGCAAGATATAAACTAGTATGTCCCAAGTCTAAGAGTGTGTTTGACATGNGCCAAATCAATTAACAATAGATCCCAGAAAATCATATGGAAAAATGAGAATCAAAAAGAAAAATTCTAGAACCAAACTGCCTCCTCCCTCCTAAACCCTCAGGGAAGAACATAGAATAGTAGAAGATCTAATCCCCGAAACTCTAACTACATGGTTTTGAATGGACTCTATAGGCTGAACTTCTGTGGCATTAAATTTATCATAGACAACTATTTTCTTGAGAATCACCCCAGATGGTCCCTTAACTTGTGGTAATTTAAGACTCAAACAAATATCCCCAGGAACACCCTCACAAGGTTTCGAAAGAGCCAGAGAATCAAAAAGAGAAAGACTAACAACCCCCCTCCTCTCTGTTCCCCATAATTTTTCCATTTTCCCAGTCCCATCTTATGAATTCCCCCATTTTAGATGATTTTTTAAGCCCAAGAAACCCATCCAGAGATTTAAGCCACCTCCCAGATAGTAGCTCTTGGTCAGACTGTACCTGGGCATTAGTAGCATTGAATTCAACCTCCTTCTCATCAACAACTCCCCAACAACTCCCCAATTCCAATAAGGGAATCAACCACCCTCGACTTCTCCTAAGAGCTCCCCATTCCATTCCTTCAGGGTCTGCTAGTGAGTCATTACACTTAAAGGACAGGTCTCCTTCAAATCGAACCTCATTTGCATTAAAAATGCCTTCTTCTAACTCTTCACCCCTTGCATCTCTGAGGAGGAGAGCATTGAGAGCTTGTAGTTGATCGATTCTGTCGAAATCCCTTTCATCGATGGGATTAGATTTCAATTGCTTCATTTGTCTTTCCTCCAAATTCCATAGCATGTTTCTATTAAGGCCTTCTCCTTTTCTAGAATCAGCCCTAGTCTCCATTCTCTTAGTCTTCGAGTCAAACTCAGCCCTTCTCCCATAAATCGTTTGAGAAGCTATAAACTCGACGAAGTCTTCAACCAAGTCTCGTCCCCTCATTTTCATCTTATAAGCCAAAATAACTGTGCTACTGTTAATCGGACCTTTACATAAAGGGGCAAATTGTTTTACTGAAAGCCCATCCTTCACAGGGTAATTTTATCGGGTATCAAGTTAACTTGGTCCAGAACCTTTAAGCCCACCTTCGGCCTAATAGAAAAATTACCCATCCTTTTGTCTTTAGCAAGGCCCATATCCACTACCTAGTCCTGGCACGATAAGCCTCCACAATTAATGCAACTAATCTCAGTAAATCTCCTAGTATCCTTGTTAATGACAGATTTAAAATTTGAATCCTTTATTATCACACTATTATTCAAGCTTTTACCATATTTATTGCAAACCCATCTCTTTTAACTCAGTATATTCACCTTGGTCCATTTGTTTGGAACTTGGACCCATTGGATCCAAGCACATACTAGTTTCACCATTTCCCTGTTCAACCACCATTGCCCTTCTGCCACAAGTCCTTTCCTTTCCAACCTTATCATCTTCAACCATAGGATTAGTACACCAAGGTAACGTGCTACCATCAGCAACCATACGTTTGCAACCATTATAACAATTCCATCCTCTCCTGCCCAAAATCCCAACCTTCACCTTGTGCACCTTAGCAGCTAAATCTAGGCTCAAAGAAGTTGTGAGGAACGGGAACCCCAAAGTTGGTTTAGCAACCTTGATTTTTACTTCAAACAAGTTTTGCATATAAATCGCATCACAATCAACTTTAAGGAATCCTCTACAACTAATAATGATAGAATTTTGGCATGGGCTGCCCATCCAAAGACCAGAGCATCCAATGGGCCCAATGGATACATGACAGCCCAAATGACCCCTCCGCAGCCCATTTGCTCTGCAATAGGAATGAGCCATAATCCAAAGAAGGGAGTCCAACAAAGCTCAGGTCGGCACAATCCTGCTCAGTCATGACAAGCTTAGCAGTAAGCAGCCTGGGCGCAAGGAGCTTTGTATTCGCTAGATCCCGAACACCTTCCATCATGCCACGTGTCTAGGGGACAACTTCTGAACACGCACTCACTGATAAAGCGAATATTTACGCACATTTCATTGAAGGACCGTAGATACGATTTGTGTCTGGATAATGACTATCACTATAAGACAAAGAGGAGGGGACCACTTGAGCAACAAAAGGAAGGAGAAAACCCTAGGAAACCACTTGTATAAATAGAACACCATCACGTTATGTAAAAGAGGTATCAGAGAAATTTATACTCACAAGACACTGTTCATAATAGCTCTAAGCTAAGACAACTACTGTAATCTTCTTCCTCAAGCAATATAAACCCTAAGGAGTAAGAGCCTCCAATATAGTAGACGTAGCTCTAGTCTTTTGACTAGGGTAAATCACTTATATATTGTTTTTGATCCCCCTTTATCACACATTTTTCTCAGTTAACTTAGAGATTTACACTACCTCCCATCTTATTAAACATTGTTCTGGACTTGGGCTGAGCATTTTTGAGCACTATCAGTTTGGCGCCATTTGTGGGAAATGGTTTTCATCGTTTCCCTTGAGTTTCTTTATACCTTTGTTAGTTTGATGATTTTGACTTGAAATATGAGTAAATCTCACTCAAACCCCCAAGTCCCACCGACTCTACCAGAGAGCTTCCCCGCCCTAGCAACGGATGTTGAGAACTTTTCTCCGGCAGTTGACCCTCCACCTCTCAATGAATTGGAGACGTACCGGTGGACAACCATACAACTTATGAAGCAGAATCAAGACTTAGTGGCGTGGATACAGGTGCTTTATCTCCCACAGGCTCTACCTGTGTAGCCTGTTCCATCTCCACCCCCCCCCCCCCCCCCCCCCCCCCCCCCCCCCCCCCCCCCCACCCAACATAGGTTTGATGTAAGTAAAGAAAATGATTCTTCATTGTAAACTAGTTTCATCCTTTTCTGAAATGATGAAACAAAACTATTTATAATGTTTGCTAGCAAATCTTTTTGATTATGTATAGACTGCTGCTTGAAATAATTTCTCTGTTTATGGTTAGTTTATTATACAGAGACATTAGCAATTGAAGGGGAAAAAAAAGGGTTATTTGTCAGTACTATTATTTCCTTCAATAATGAAAATCTGTCCCACAGAGGCTTTTAGAATCTACTCCTTTTTTTTTTTTGGTAACAGGAGACTTTAGTTTAAAAAGGTTGATCTACAATTTCAAGATCTTATGTTATATAACTAGATCTGTGGTTGCATAATAAATTATTATGTGCTCCAATCTCCCAATTAATTTTGGCATTGGAAACAACATACAATTGAACTTCCATACATTAACTAATGAATTGCAAAGTAGAAAGGGATGCTTTCTTGCTCCCTNCAAAAGAGGAAAAAAAGGAGTTGAAGATATGACTCAAACCCCCCCTCCCCCAAAACATGGCCCACGATTGGGACATTTAGGAGTAGTGCTAGAGTTAGTTTTTAGAAAGTAGTTAATGTTGTAATCAAAAGTTGTTAAATAAGTAACTATGTAACCGAAACTCATTCAATTGAATTAATAATGGAGTGCTTTTATTGATTCATTATTCTGTGTGTTCATCACTTTAAGAAATCTACCAAAGAAGTCTTGAAATAAGGCATTTGAACCCATCCACAAATAATTGTCTGAAAACTGTTTGTCGATTGAGGCATTTATGTCAATCACAACAGATTTTTGGAGCATGAGAAGCATAGCATTACTTGGGTATGCAAACCATATAATACTGCCACTACATGGCTATAACTAACCAAAATTTTATTTTATTTCTTTCTCTAATTTTGACCTTTCCTTGGTTCAAACAATTTGACAATACGTCTTGAAGCTTTTGCCATAAAAGTTTTAGACTACCGAAACAAAAAAAGAGAAAAATCCTTGTCACTTGGGACTTTAGACTACAAAATTTTCTTTTTTTTTGTCCTTTTTCTTGACTTTTTGCTAAAATCCATCACATACAACTCTCATAGGTTAATTAAGTGATTAGACGAGGAGCAAGATATAAACTAGTATGTCCCAAGTCTAAGAGTGTGTTTGACATGACTTAAAAAAAAGTGTTTTGGGGACTTTTAACTTATAAATTTTTTTTTTTTTTTTAAAATTAACAAGTTTGGCTTAACTTGTTAAAAACACTTTTTAATAAGTAAAAATAATTTGAGCATTTACATAAGTTTATGAAAGAAAGTAAAAATAATTTAATTTTACTTTTAAAAATCACTTCTCATTTTCACCTGTCATTTTCTCTTCACTCCCTCGACACCTCTCTGCAAGTCCCAGATACCTCTCTGCCAAAACCATTCATGTAGCCACTTTCTCTCTCTACGCCGACGCCGACAATTTAGTCTCTCATCTTGCCGACCAATGACCCTACCTTTTCTCTCGCCAACTACCAACGACGTCGAAGCCTTCTTCTCTCTCACCGATCTTTGTTGTATGCTGGTCTAACCAAATCCCTTCAAATGAGGTACAATATCTTCTTAAATAATTTTATATTATCATTTGCAACGATTTGCTTATAATTTGTTATCGGTTGATGTATTTTGGTTTGTGATTTTTTTTTTTTGATTTAGAAAGATTTTGGAGAAATTGTTTTTTATTTTTTTTTGATCCATGATTACTATGAAAATCACTATATTAATTTACTTCCATAATTCATTACTCTTTCTCACATTTAATTTTTAACAAACCCGGACAATTTGATAGAATGTCCACCAACAGTCTGATAAAATGACTGACATGTGCTATGGATTTTTTCTTATGCTTGGGACTGTTACTTTTCTTGTGTTGTAATTAGGGGTGTTCATCCTAGGTAGGAAATACAATTTTTCGTCTTCCTACCAGATACTTTGCAGAAGAATTTTTTCTTGGCCTACCCTACCCGATTAGGAGTGGTATTCCTACCTGACTTCTTATCCGATTAATCGGGTTGGAAGTCGGGTAAACCCTTGTGTAGCTATTAATTTTTGAATGGTGAAAATGTAAATAATATTAGAGGGATTTATTTCAAACTAAAATCTCTTATGCAATGAATTGTAAATATAGGAATATATTATCTCTGTTTTGAATGATGTAATCTGTGTAGATTAAACCTCTGGAGCAATGAATTGTTTTGAGTGACCATGAGTGGAAGACCAAGACTATTGACTTGGAAATGTATCCCAACCCATTTCAATGTCGGCTGATATAACGGATTTGATAACCAACCAAAAAAATCAATCTATGTTCAACAGTATATATTCGTCTTTGTGAATTCAAAAAAACTCATTCTCATTAATTCTCAAAATTAATATTTCAATCACAATACAAGGTAATTTTTGGGAGCCAAAATCTGTTGATAAATGTATTCTTTTTCTTTTTGCCCGATTGCTCATTCAGCCTCACAGCCACCATGTGGTGGCTTTGATTCTTCACCACCATCAGCGCAATGCTTCCTCTGCTACTGCTCTCTGTTCTCTCCTTTCTTCTTCTACCATTCTCTCCCACTTGATCTCCAAGCTAAAAGCCAAAGATCCAAGAAAATATATATCCTCTCAAGAGCTATTAGCGTAACTTTCTCCAAAAGACTGGCACTGCCACACAAAGAAAAAGGTACCCTCTGGAGTCAAAGTAAATCATCATCAGATCATTTTTTTTCGGGACTCAAATTATCAGAAACCCAAAAAGAAAAGTTTCTCACGTCCATCATCGAACAAGCATGGCTTTGTTGCCGCCCCGGCCAAGAGAGTATAGAAAGAGAGAAACAAAACTAAGACTAAAAGCCAATCTGTTTTAGGATACAATGAAGTGTATGTGACTATGTTGGTCTTGCCTCTAAGCCTTGCGGATTCAAGTATTTTTTTAATGATAAACATATCGAATATCTTATTTACCTTAATAACAAGAAAGAATGAGAGAGAAGCCAGGTTCAAAGTTTGAGACATCAAGAAGCACCACTGAAATAGATTAGACCAACCAGGTAAACTTCCTGATTTACACACTTATAATTTATTGTTGATTACTAAAGAAAATATTTCTTGAAATTGATTATTGTAAGGAGAAAGGAAAATAAAATTGTGCATCAAAATAATTTATGAGGGGTGTATTTGGTTNATCACTATAAGACAAAGAGGAGGGGACCACTTGAGCAACAAAAGGAAGGAGAAAACCCTAGGAAACCACTTGTATAAATAGAACACCATCACGTTATGTAAAAGAGGTATCAGAGAAATTTATACTCACAAGACACTGTTCATAATAGCTCTAAGCTAAGACAACTACTGTAATCTTCTTCCTCAAGCAATATAAACCCTAAGGAGTAAGAGCCTCCAATATAGTAGACGTAGCTCTAGTCTTTTGACTAGGGTAAATCACTTATATATTGTTTTTGATCCCCCTTTATCACACATTTTTCTCAGTTAACTTAGAGATTTACACTACCTCCCATCTTATTAAACATTGTTCTGGACTTGGGCTGAGCATTTTTGAGCACTATCAGTTTGGCGCCATTTGTGGGAAATGGTTTTCATCGTTTCCCTTGAGTTTCTTTATACCTTTGTTAGTTTGATGATTTTGACTTGAAATATGAGTAAATCTCACTCAAACCCCCAAGTCCCACCGACTCTACCAGAGAGCTTCCCCGCCCTAGCAACGGATGTTGAGAACTTTTCTCCGGCAGTTGACCCTCCACCTCTCAATGAATTGGAGACGTACCGGTGGACAACCATACAACTTATGAAGCAGAATCAAGACTTAGTGGCGTGGATACAGGTGCTTTATCTCCCACAGGCTCTACCTGTGTAGCCTGTTCCATCTCCACCCCCCCCCCCCCCCCCCCCCCCCCCCCCCCCCCCCCCCCCCACCCAACATAGGTTTGATGTAAGTAAAGAAAATGATTCTTCATTGTAAACTAGTTTCATCCTTTTCTGAAATGATGAAACAAAACTATTTATAATGTTTGCTAGCAAATCTTTTTGATTATGTATAGACTGCTGCTTGAAATAATTTCTCTGTTTATGGTTAGTTTATTATACAGAGACATTAGCAATTGAAGGGGAAAAAAAAGGGTTATTTGTCAGTACTATTATTTCCTTCAATAATGAAAATCTGTCCCACAGAGGCTTTTAGAATCTACTCCTTTTTTTTTTTTGGTAACAGGAGACTTTAGTTTAAAAAGGTTGATCTACAATTTCAAGATCTTATGTTATATAACTAGATCTGTGGTTGCATAATAAATTATTATGTGCTCCAATCTCCCAATTAATTTTGGCATTGGAAACAACATACAATTGAACTTCCATACATTAACTAATGAATTGCAAAGTAGAAAGGGATGCTTTCTTGCTCCCTATAGTCTCTCTAAAATTTGTGTATGCGGAGAGATGTAGAGAGAGAGAGAGAGAGAGTTAAAACTGAGGAATCCCAACCAATTGTGTTGTTTTTATGTTTTCTTATTATATATATAATGATTTCGTCGTGTGTGTGCATGTGTGTGTGTGTGTGTCTTTGTTAGCTTGATGTCAACTCTTCATTGTGCCTATCATGCCCATGTTGTAGAAGAAAATATGTATTGAATTTATAAAAGGCTTTGTTCAGGTTAATTATTATTATACGTGTTGTGCTAATAGCCTATGTATTTTGTGATGTTACTTTAGATGGATTCTAGTAGTTCTAAGAATGACAAAGATAAAGCAAACCGGACTATGAAGGAACATAAGAATTTTTTTTAGTTGTGTTAAAGAGGTGGATAAAGGGAATCGGCCCACTACTAGTTTTAACAAGCGAGCTTGGAAGAATATTATAGATGGGTTTGTGGCAAAGGAAAATGTCATGTATGACCAAAAACAATTGAAAAATCACTTTTCTATTACTAAGGATGAATGGAAGTCATGGCCAAAATTGACTAATCATACTGGAGTGACTATTGACTCTATAACAGGATGTGTCTTGTGTAATGACTAGACATGGAATATATTTATTGAGGTAACATCTAATTAGGTCAATTTAAATATTGTAGGAGTTAATTGTTTAAATTTATGGTCATGATTTTTTCCTTGACCACGGGCAAACTCCGATTGCAAAGAATTTTGTAGAAAACCACTCTCATTTGCTGACATGCTAGATAAAGGTTTTGGTGGTACAACTGTAATTGGGGATCATTCATGGGCTCCTTCACAAGGAACCCACCCTGCATTTGCTCATACAACTAGTGGTGATGACTATCATGACTTAGATTTGGACACACCTTGTGAAAGTCAGATTCCCGATAGGGTTGGACCAACAAGAGAGGAAGGTAGTGAGTCAGATGGTCAAGTAAATCTCGGAAGTGATGTGTCTACATCTTCAAAGCGCTGTCGAAAAGTGTGTGGGAGAGAACGATTGGACAAACAACTATCAGAGTTGTGCAAGGCAATACATAGCACTGTTGCACCAATGTCGTCCATAATCAAGGAATGCATGTAAGAGCTCCACAAAATGCGTGACCTTATTCCATAGGGTAGCCCATTGTATTGTCATGCTCTTGTTCTTTTTCGAGATGTTATCAATAGGGAAACATGGATGAATTTGCCTAAACCTGGTGTTCAAGCTGCATGGTTGGAGTATATGAGGGACGGAGGGAACACTAGTCAATAGGGTGTCTTTTCAAAAGTGTACTTGTTTAGGTGTTTTTTTAAGATAAAGTTACAAATGTTTTGTTTGTTTTGAACACCACTCTTTACTATGATTATTTGGTTACTTGAGCTTATTTGAACACTAAGTTTTACTGTGATGGTAATACTTGAGCTTTTGTTTTGAAGACTTTTGGATTTTTATTATATTGATGTATATGTTGGGCTCTTGGATAGACATTTGCTATTAGAATTTATCTAAATGTCAATGCTTATATTTTTTTCATTGCTCTAGATTTGTTGTGCAGAATGAATCTGAAAACTATATGCCTTACCATACTTGTCATACAACTTTTGAGAAAATGGGATGCAATGCGCAAGAGTAAAACGCCATGTAGGAATATTGCCCTAACCGGTCATCAATATGTGTTAAAGATTCTTAATGGCCATAATCGTGTATCCCTTGAGCAATTTCGAATGGAAAAGCATGTGTTTATTTCATTATGCGAGTTAATGAAAGAAAAGAACTTATTGTGTGATAGCAAATATGTTTCGAGTCAAGGGAAGCTAGCTATATTTTTAATCACTATTGGTCACAATGAGAAAAATAGAATAATGCAAGAGCGATTTCAATATTCTAGGGAGATAATAAGTCGACATTTCAATGATGTTTTATTGGGGATGGCCAAACTTTCAATGGAAATCATCAAGCCTCATCAAAATTTCAATTGCATCCCTCAAGAGATCAGATTGAATCCTAAATACTATCCATAGTTTAAAGATTGTATTGGGGAAATTGATGGCACACATGTTAGCGCTTATGTTCCTACTTCAAAACATATTCCTTTTAGAAGTAGGAAAGATAGTATGCATGTAGACTGTCTTGGCAGCATGTTCTTTTAACATGGTTTTCACATTTTTCAATGCTGGGTGTGAAGGAACGGCTCATGATTCTAGAGTGCTACTACATTTTATTCGTAATAGGCATTTAAACTTTTCAAAACCACCTCCAGGTATGAGTAAAGAATGTGTTGATTAAATTTTTTTGCATTCTTAACTACATAGAATAACTAATGATTTTGTTGTTTTTTTAGGAAAATATTGTGTGGTAGATGTTGGCTTCCCTAATATGGATGGTTATCTTACTCTTGATAAGGAAATGAGATATCATCTACCCGAATTTGGTAGAGGGGAAAGACCTCATGGGAAAGAGGAGTTCTTCAATCATGCACATTCTTCATTAAGGAATGTGATTGAATGATGTTTCGGAGTGTTAAAGAAAAGATTTTCAATTTTACAGCAAATGCCTATTTTTGATTTCACTAAGCAAATGTTTATTGTTGTTGCTTGCATGACTTGCCACAATTACATAAGGCTTCATGGCATCAAAGACGTATTATTTGCAAGGCATGCTAATGAAGGCGTGAAGTTAGAGGAAGAAGGAAATGTAAACCAACCTGCTTTTGAAGAGGATATTGATTTGTCAGATACAAATCCAATGTATAAGAAGAGAGAACGTATTGTTTCAGCAATTCTAAGGGACAATCAAGCATGATTTTTGATTGTATTTACTATTAACATATGTTTTGCAACTTTAGTATGGTATTGGGATAGTTGAACTATGTAGTTTTTTCATATGATACCTTTATAAATATGATATTTCTGTGCATTTTTTTTTGTATCATTATATGTGTAGTATATGTTTGTATATTTGCATTCAATGCTATTAACAATTGTGACACAATAAATGTTTTCACATCCAAATATGTTTTTTATAAAATACATTAATTTAAGTATTTTAAATTAAGTATTCAAACAATATTTATTTACTAAAAGTGTTTTTCTCAAAACATTTATTAAAAAAGTACTTTTTTTATTTTTTAAGTCATCTCAAACACACTCTAAGTCTCTTTGGTCCGATAAAACCCGTACTTAACATATACACTTGGTTTTGAAGTAATCAAATACATCTAAATTTTGTGTTGCACCTATAAAACCCAAAACAAATTGTTATTGGGACAATTCTCTGGACAAACTGATGAGCCCGAAAACAACTGGGCCAAGCCCAATAAAACAAGAAATGCCCACATCGCCACGC